GGATCAAATGGTTTTCAATGCATTCCTATGGGAAATGCAGATTTGACCTGAGAACTTTTTGACTTGAGAACCGCCTTCCAATACGGATTAAGTTCTCAAGTCAAGACCCCACTGTAGGTGGCACTGCTATATCTGCTCCTGCCTAAAGTGGCTGCTTCCTTGTGGCTAATGGCAAGACTGACTCTGGCTCCTAGTTTGGCAAACAAAATGTAGTTGTATGGCTATTTATATAGTAAAATGAGGCTAAATTGATTCCCAGCTTGTCTAGTTCATTCATCCATGCACTCACTCTCTTTATTTATGCTTGTCTCCAAATAAGGAGACCAGAGAAAATTTACAAATTGTTTAGAAGACAAACATTAAGAAGGCCAAAAATATAATAAATTACAATATTTTAAAAAATAAACATACTGTATATTAAAGCTAGTGAATAAAAACCACTTAAAACAATTGGAAAAGAACTTTAAAAGAAAGACTATATGTGTATATTTATGGCCTCTTCTTTAGCAGCCACTGTAACCTCTTTCTTCACAGCTAGTTACTTACAAAAGTTGTGCCTCAAGAGAAAGGATTTTTCTTCTGGTGGAAGGAAAGCAGGGAGGGTACTGTATTGCTTTTCTCTGGTCCACATACTGCTGAAGCCTAACTTGGAGGATTTTGAGCATAACCTTGTTAGTGTGTGAAATGAGTGCAATTGTACAGTAGTTGGAGCCTTCTTTGGCACTGCCTTTCTTTGGGATTGGGCTGTAGACTGATCTTTTCCAATCCTCTGGCCATTGCTGAGTTTTCCAAACTTGCTGGCATATTGAATGTAGCACCTTAACAGCGTCATATTTTAAGGTTTTAAATAGTTCAACTGGAATGTCATCACCTACACTGGCCTTGTTATTAGCCATGCTTTCTAAGGCCCACTTGACTTCACTCTCGAGGATATCTGGTTCAAGGTCAGCAACCACACTATCTGGCTTGTCTGGGTGCTACATGTGTTGCTCTCAAACTAACAGCATATGAGCCAAGATTTGACAAATTATCAGCATGCATGCAACATCAAAAATCACATTAATTGTGCAAAAGCATGCCAAGTTGAATATCCCTTATCAAAAAATACATGCACATAATTATTTTAAAAGTTTGTATAAATTACCTGGCTTCAGGCTATGTGTACAATTTACAGTGGTACCTCGCTAGACGACGACCCCTCTAAACAATGAATCTGCATAACGATGACTTTGCGATCGCTATAGCGATTCGCAAAACAGTCATTCCAATGGGCAATTTTCGCTTGATGATGATTTTCTCCATGCTTCGCGGACCGTTTATTCGCAAGACGACAATTTCTACAGCTGATTGGCGGCTTCGCAAAATGGCTGCCCTGTGTTTTCTGGACCCATGCTTCTCAGGACAGCCATTTTTACAACTGATTGGCGCTTTGCAAAATGGCTGCCCTATGGGTGATCTTCGCAAAATGACGAGGTATTTTCCGCATTGGAACGCATTAAACAGGTTTCAATGCATTCCAATGGGGAAATAGTTTTCGCATGACAATGATTTCGCTAAACAGCGATTTCAATGGAACGCATTATCATCGCCATGCAGAGCACTACTGTATTACTTTAATATTTTTTCCATTTTACGCAGTTAATGGTTATTTTTTTAATATAAAAGTATTTGTATCATTGAAATTTCTGTTATGTTTTTCTTTGAAGACAAAAGGTGATGATTAGTTCAGACAATTGTATGAATTGTTTTTTTCTAAACTAAAACCTCAGTATTCAGATTTAATTGCAGCGTTGGCACTTTGAAAGAAATAATTTGTTTTTGTGTTGCTGTTTGGGCACTCAGGCTCAAAAAGTTTCGCCGTCACTGTGCTATAGTGTAGCTTGTTTTAGCCATTCTGCAACACAGCTTACATTTAATTACACTATTATATATGGTTTGAAGATATTATGTGTTACCTGTGGAAAGCTAAAAGTAAAACTTATTTATTTAAAAAAGTATATTATTTTTATAGTTAAATCTTATAATCAAGAATAGCATATGCTGCTCCCTATTTCATTTTTAAAACCTTATTCATGTTCTTACTGGACAGCAGTGGTTTTACTTGGCAGATAAATGTACTTTTGGGAAGTGTAATCATTATGACCTTCATTATGGTCTCTCCTTGCTTTACATTCCTGTGAATTTTGCTAAGAAGGGACAAAAAGTACTATAGCTTGTTTGTACGATAGCTTATCTATAGTACACAGTTCTGTTTTTTGATCATAGACCATTTATTTGGATCATGCATTACTTGCAGAAAATGCATTGTTAGTGTCCTTTATTATTTTTCTGAGGAAACAATTGCAAGCCCACAGAAGGAAAGTGTTTTCTATGAAGTGGAGCAGAAGGCCCCAACAGTTGAAGATACTGCCAAAGTTGAGGTGAAACACAGAATTATAAACTTTTATGTTCCTTGCTTTTTTCTTTTCTCTTGCTCCCACTGTCTTTCCAAACTGTTTTAGTCGTACCTTTTTCTTATTACTGAAAGACATCCTATATATTGTTATTCCCAGTATAAATATGAATGTTTGGTAAAAATTTAGTAGCATTCTAGTCTACATTAAATCCAGTGACTAGCAAGATTAGGCTGGGCAATGTTTCACAGAGATCTGACAGGTTTATCAGATTCTTTTGAGTTCTTTCCAAAAATTGATGAACTAAAGATTTAAAAATTGATAAAAAGCTGAAAGCAACACTTATTTTTAAACTTTCATATTATTTTTATCGTTAAATATCTTTGTTCCATATCCTATTCTTTGTTTTGTTTTCATAGTCTCCAATTTGCATTAATTGATCTTTTTCTAGTTTCAGGATGGGCGCAGGGTGGCCTGTGGGCTCCATGTGAACCACTAGCATATTATTGCTCTGCCTGGGGGCTCCTACAGTCCCCAATGTAAAAATGCAAAGACACAAGCCCTCCAAAGCATTTTTAAAAAGTGGATTAAATAGGATTAATGTTTTTCTGCTCCTGGAGCCTGGGAAGTCCCCCAAGATTTCCCCTCCCCCATCCATGCACGTTCTGTTTGATTATTTTCCTTTCCAGAAATAGCTTTACAGCCATTTCTGGGCCTGTTGCTGCCTGTGAAGGGGGTTGGGGTCTTTAATTTGTCCACCAAGTCCCCACATCTTGCCTATCCCCTCTAGTTAGTAATGGTTGGAGAAAGTGCATTGTTTTAATTCTTATTTTCCTTAGGACATACCTGAAAGCTCAAAAAGGGGAAGCATTTTCTTTAAAGAGGAAGAAGAAGCCTCTAAAGTAAGAGAAAATTCTTCTGAAAATAAGAAAAAACTAAAAATTTTAATGTTCACATTTTTCTTCAGTGGAAAGATAGAATAAATAACAGTAGAAGTCTGGGCCAACATTTATGTTTTTTGCAGGAAGGATCTGCTTGGTCTTTTCTGTACCAGGCTGAACTCTTTTGCTCCTGAGATATTTCTTGAGAATCTCTTCAGAAGCTTTATGCCCACTCAATTATCTGTGGGCAATTTCTTTTATCCCAAAGGCTTCTTGGAACCAGGATGGTGGTGTCTGAGATGACTGGATGCTCATGATCATGGGATCTTAAACTATGTTAGATAGCTATTGCCTCAAGTTCTATCCCAGTGATAAAATCAGGATTGTCCCAAATGAATACAGTATTAAACCATAGAACGCCTTCTACTCATTGCCATCCTAGAGCTGTCAGTTTCCAGATCCTCAGATGCTCTCTCTATTTAACTCTTAGATCCCAGAGATGAACAGGGACTGGTAGGTAACTCTCAACCTATGATAGAGATATTGATCATCTAAAGGCCTAAGGATTCCATTTTAGTTTGGAATCCTTAGGCCTTTAGATGATTTGTCGACACTCATGAGGCTTGAAATTCACTATGAGCCATTTATTTCCTTTAGTGGTCACATTGTTGCTCCTGAGCGGAGGCTTTCCTCCTCAGGAACCTTGATACCTTCAGATAATGACTAGAAATAGGATGGTGGAAACAAAACTGCCAAGCAACAGATGTGCAGGAATAGTGGAACTTGCTTATCCATTCAGTTGGTCAGAATAGCAAGTGCCTAATGTGTATATGAGGTCTTTTAACATAACTTGTTCTTCTAGCTGGGACAGAACCTTGTCTGTTTAAGGTGGAGTTTGGAAGTGATCTCCAGGATTAATGGTTTCTCCACCCAGAAACTTGATAGCTGTGTATCAGAAGTTAGGAGATCTGTTCTCTACTTCTAACTATCAGCAAGAACGTCTTCCACAAGAAGTGATGTTGTCTTTCCTATTCTTTACTGATGATAAGCACATTTCACATTAAATCCTACTTTCTGTTCCCTGCTAACTTTTTTTTGGTGATCTTATTTTCTTTCCAAGCTGTTATGTTAGGTATTGTTTTTTTTTTTACTTGAATTACAAACAATGCATTGTTATTTTCAATGCAGATCTGATATCACTGATATAGCTAATATTTCTGATTTGAACCATTAATTTGACTTTGGCTATTTTTTCTCTTTATTTTGACTGTCTCATTAATATTCATGCTCTTATTAGCGGCAATGGTTTTAGAAAGTGTATTGCCAACTTTTATTTCTTTTCCAAGGATATCCCAGGAAGCTCACAAAGGGGGAATGTTTCTTTCAAGACACAACAAGAATCCTCCCAAATGCAAGAAGAGACTGCCAAAGTTGAGGTGAAACAAATATGTTTCTGTTCATGTTGCATTCTTTGTTGAGATTTTAATTTTCTTTCCAAGCTGCTCTTTTAGATATCCTTTATAAGGTTGCAGGGGACTGGCTGATGTCTCAGGGGATTGCTGGGCATCTCCAGGTTTCCAGACAAGGAGACAAATCTCAGGACTGCCAGCACTAATGGAGGAAATAGTTTGATCACTGTGTGTGATATGGAATGTCAGGTATAGAAGGAAAAATATCTGCAGCTGTTGGAGAAATTTGGCCCTGTGACTAGTAACTTCCAAAAGTTTATACCTCCCACTTCTGAGTTGCTGTTCAACCTAAGTTGTTTTGTATTTTCTCAGATTCCAGGCCCATTTACATGGATTTCCCTACTCAATTCCACAGTCATCAGTCCCAGAAATTGTTCATTCTCCATTCCCAAACCTTGCCTGTCTTACTTACCTGACTTGACAAGGACCATCTTATTGCCTCAAGTTTTGGCTCTGAATTCCATTCCCAAACCTTGCCTGTCTTGCTTACCTGACTTGACATCTTATTGCCTCAAGTTTTGGCTCTGAAATTTCAGGGAGTGGGATGCTGTGGACCTAGTCCATTTAGCCTTTCATTCCACGTCATGCATTTTGTTCTCAATATGCATGTTGTCCTGTTAAATATTGTAAATGTTTAGTAGCAATTCTTTTGACTGTCCTGTGATGCCTAATCGTCTTTTGCTGACATACAGTAGCATCAAATTGTTAGGCTACTTCTCCCAAACAAAGCAAATCTGGAAAATTCAGCAAAATAAGAATTTGATACCAAGAAGATGAAAACAAATTCTGTTTTAAAATCATCTTCATTATTTCTGGAATTTAAGTTCCTTATTTGCAAGAGAGTTTACTATTTCTCTCTCTTTTGTTTTGAAAGTCTCACTAATATTCATAACAGTTACATTCACTGATGGTTTTAGAAAATGTTTTTCCTCCTTTATTATTTTCCCTAGGACACATCAAGAAGCTCACAAAGAGGAGGCATTTATTACAAAATACAGCAAGAGGCCCCCAAAGAGGAATATACTGCTAAGCTTGAGGTGAAATGCACAAATGGCCAATATTCTATACTTCCATGGCTTGAAAAATGTGCTTGTCCACTCATCTGTGATGATTGAAAAAAGCTCCTCGACGAGTCACAGCTCCCTCCCTGCCTCCCTTCTTACCCTCCGCCTCTCTCTTTCTCTCTCTAATCCCGCAGTCCTCCCCTCCCCCTCCCGTTGCAAAAGGAAAACTGCCCTCTTCTTGCAAAAAAGAGAGCTCTAGTGGTACATAGACATATAGCTCTGCAGGAGAATGTAGAGTAGTCCCATGCTGGAGAATATGGAGATTCCCTGTTCCAAATTTCAACCAGACAAGGACACATCCTGGGGTAGGTGAGAACCCTGGCTCCTTAAGAGGTGAGGCGCTTTTGCTTTCAATTTTATTTTTGCTGGAGACATTCAAAAGAAAAGCATTCAAAATACAAGCTTCATCACCCCACAGGCATGCAGGTAATAAAGCAACCTAAGTCTGAGGGTATAAGTCAGTAGTTCCCAATCCCAATAAATTGCAAGTGTATAGTCTGGTCATGCTGACTGGTGAAATTTTTGATTGACTGGTGAGACATTCTAAAATTTTTCAATCCCTGCATATTTCCCAGTTTTCCTTACTCATTTTTTAATCATAGTGTTATTCTTTTTTCAAACTGTTGTTCTGGCATTCCCCCCCCCATCTTTGAATTCCATAAGACATACAGTTTTGTTCTTTGTAGATGTGAACATGTGAACATTGACAGGGAGTTTAATTATCATCTAGGAAAAAGTAGCTGTGTGATTCATCCATAGAAACAAAAGCTAATATCCCATTCAACATTTGTACACACATGTAGTAGGAAGATGATCTGACAAGGCGGTAGTCACATGCAATCAGACACACAAACAAGATCTCATGAAATGGTATGATGGTTTCTTCAGTTGTAGTTCTAGCCAAGTAAATATTGAACAGCATACTAGCTACAGTTTTAGATTGAGTAATAATTGTTTGATTACTAAAATGTTATACACAACTTGAGCTTTGAAGTGATTTGCAACTCTTCATCAAGCAAGAGTGATATTAGATTTATGGTTAAGGCAAAAATGGGCCAGATGTGATACCCATGGTTCTTGAAAACAAACAGGTAGTAAAGAGAGTCAGCATGAGACAGAGGTATCAGCATATCAATTTATAGTTGCTCCTCTTACCTTAACCCCAAATTTTATAGCATGGTTGTTTAATGAAGAGTTCTGAAAAATCCAAAAACTTGCCCATTTTGTTAATTTTACGTGGAATTTTTCTGATCTTTATAATCTTCTAGTGATGCTTGGGTCGCTCTCACATCATGGAGGTTCTGATTTGTAGAATATTAGTTAAAATATAGTAAACTAAAAACTGAGAAGATCAAAATTTGCTTAATCTGATGTATGGTTACTTAGAAATAAAGCCACAAGTTTCAGGAGGATCAGCTAAATTTGTATAGGACTGCTGGCACACAGACCAAAATTTGTAGTTTGAAAACTGAGATAGTAGACATTTTTTCCTTTCTGAAACTTGATACTTTCATTTTTCATTCTTGAAATTTGGAATATAATTGTACTTCATAATATTATTTGGCACCCAAAGACAAGCTAAGCCAAACATGTATCAAGATGCATGGATGTGAGTGTTACTTTTTACATACTTAAGCCATTTTAGAATTGAAGGAGAGGGAATTTTCTGTGGGAAGCAAGATTACAGTACCCTTGTAACAGAATGAAGATATGTGGGAACTGCCCTTGCACAGCAGTTTAATAGTCTTCAGATTAAGGGAGGAGCATAGTTTTACAAATTCTGCTTGGATTTAGAAGAAAAGCCAAGCCATTATTGCTTGGAGGATGCAGATACTACATGAACAGTTTATCTTGTGTTTCTGTGGGAGGGTCTTCCAGTTACATTGCACAACTGCAACTTAGGTTTTCCTCCCTTCTTGCAGCTGGTCCATGACACAGTCCAGTATATATCTGTTTATCTATGTTTGTCCTAACTGTAGCTTCCTGTGCAGAATATTGCATTAGTGTTAGCACAATCAAGTATTGATGTGCACCCATGTCTTTTAAAACAATCCATGACTTCTCATGATCCATAGAGTCAAAGGCTTTGCTGTAATCTATAAAGCATAGTTTGATATTCTTCTGAAATTCTTTGGTATACTATAGGAGTCAACATATGTTTGTAATACAATTCCTAGTGCCTTTTACTTTTTGGAACCTGGCTTGAACATCAGGGATTTTTGTTTACATATAGGGTAAAAGTCTTTGTTGCAACACCTTAGTAGTTATATAGCTCACCTTGAGTGTCACTTTGCTTACACAGGAAATTAATGCAATGGCCCAATAATTGCTGCACTTAGTGGTACTTACTGCATGTGGTAATAGACCTGAAACGGCCATCCATATACAACATTTCTTTCTACCAAAACAACCTCAAACCAAGCAACCAGCCAAACAAGCAAGTTCTGTTCAGTTTCTCTTCATTAGCATAAACAGAACATCTTACGCTCCTTTGTTCGGGAATACCATTTTTTTTTCTTTTGGGGAAGGGATCAAAGTCCAGGAACGGTGTTCCCTCTATTTGCAGCTACAGTGCCTTGGGAGACAAGGAAGCAGGGAAAGAGAAAAGAGACAGGGAATGAAAAAGAAAAGGAGGTGTGGAACAGCACATAATGAAGACATGACTGTATTTAAATAGATGTAGATTGTTGTACATGAAAAAAAAAATCTCAAAATAAACCCTAATGCGTTTTTGGAGCAAAAATTAATATAAGACTTACTAACTTACTTACTTACTTACTTACTTACTTACTTACTTACTTACTTACTTACTTACTTATTTACTTATTTATTTTATTTTATTTTATTTTATTTTATTTTATTTTATTTTATTTTATTTATATCCCGCCTATCTGGTCATTGCGACCACTCTAGGCGGCTGTATGTATGTATGTATGTATGTATGTATGTATGTATGTATGTATGTATGTATGTATGTATGTATGTATGTATATGTTTATTGGTTTGTTGATTGATTGATATAAATCATGCTTATTTGGAATACAGATGTATCTATTGGCTCTTGCCTTTCCATTGGACTATTTCAGTGACATGGAGACGAGAGATTAGCTGCTTGGGTAACAGCCTGTCCTCCATATTATTTTACCCAGGCTTCATGCTCTGGAGAGGACACTCCAGCTTTGCATACAACGTCAAAGTCCTCCATACAGAGTATGTTACCATAGTCTCTTGAGACTGAAGGATGCCTATGATGTATCTATAAGTGAAATACTTTGGTAGTTAGCTAGATTACAAATGGATTTTTGTGGTTTAGGAAAGTAGAAATTATAACCAGACTAAAATACCTGTTTAGACACAAGAAGAATTGACTGAAAAAGCTGAAGAGAAACCAGTTTGTGGCTTGAGAATACCTTCGCAAGAGATACAGAGTATACGTGAAAGTGAATCAGGTTCATCTTTAGATATTGAACAGATACAAGAATCAGTTTCTTCAATGGCAAAAGATTGGAAGAAATGTAAAACTGAAGGATCAGAGGTAAGACAAAAATAAGTATAATTAATTACTTGCCATTAATTAATTAATTGTGAGTCACTTTGGGCCCTTGTTGGGAGAAATGCAGCATATAACTAAAACTAATAACAATAATAACAGTAACAACAACAACAACAACAACAATAATAATAAAGAAGCTAACAAGGACTCACGCGCCATCAAGCTATTTGAATGCTACTCAGAAAAACTGAATATTGCTGAAATCCTGTTCGCTTAGCTATATCATGTAAAGTTAGTGACACCATCAGCTGCAATGATTTTTTTAGAAATGAAAGGTAAAGGTAAAGGTTCCCCTTGACATTTTTAGTCCAGACGTGTCCGACTCTAGGGGGTGGTGCTCATCCCGTTTTTAAGCCGTAGAGCCAGTGCTTGTCCGAAGACAGTTTCCATTGTCACGTGGCCAGCGTGACTAGGGAACGCCGTTTTACCTTCCCACCGAGGTGGTACCTATTTATCTACTCGCATTTACATGCTTTCGAACTGCTAGGTTGGCAAGGAGCTGGGACAAAGCGACAGGATTCGATCTTGCAACTGCTGGTCTTCTGACCCTGCAGCACAGGCTTCTGCGGTTTAGCCCGCGGTGCCACCATGTCCCACTTGCTAGAAATAAAATATTCATGTTGCTAGAAAGAAAAACATGCCCAATTCCTCCCCCAAACCTACCCCCATTTCCAAGGTTCCCATGTAATGTGATGGGTGAAACTGTTGGAAGCCACAGGACGGTGGGGAAGTCTTTAATTTTCAAAAATAGTTGTCTCTGATGATTTGGATGCTAAGTAGGTTAAGTGTATTAAGACTTGGATGAGAGATCTCCAGATAGGGCTTGGAAGTAATCCTGCTGAAACTCTGAGAGTTGCTGCCAGTCAGACATGACAGTACTAGACTGGATGGACAAATTGTGTAGTACAAGGCAGCTTCCTGTGTTCCTGTGATGACTGTATTTTTTTTGCTGGAAAAGGGAATGCTTCAGTAAAGGCAGTAGTTTGCATCCTAATAGCTTTGCTTTCAACTGTTTGTATTGCTTGCTTATGGTATTGATTGCTTATGGTACATTTCACTCTAGTGCTAGATTGCTACTGTCAGTTTTTCTAATAGTGGATCTAAATGATATGTTAGATCTTACAAGGTCATATAGCTCCATCAATTATTTCTCTCCACTACTACCCAGAGTCCAGTGGTGTATGTTTGCTAGCAGAAGACAGTCCATCTGTGGGTAAGGGAGAAATCATTGACCTCAATGAGGTCAGTGAGCCAGACCCACTCTATAAAAGTGTTTTCTTACCCCATGATTGATAGGTTTAGTTGGGAACCTTTGATGGGGAACATTGGTCAAAATCCTTTTCAAATTCTAGACCAATGTTTCCCAACCTGGAGGGCTGTGACTCTCAAGCGGGTTGCACATTGCCCTATATGTGTGTTGCAGCCCTTGTTAAATAATTTCTTTCTTGACCTTTTGGAATGGGATATTATAATAAAATTGGTGTGTATGTATATGTATGAGAAACAGGACCTTTGGGGGAAGAAAGAAGCTTCTACTTTCTGAGAAGGGATGAGTTTACCCCCTTAAAAAGGCCTCTTTATGGAAATGTGATGGGGGCTCGCACGTTACTTGGCTATTATAAAAAGAGGTTGTTATTCAAAATAGGTTGGGAACCACTGTTCTAGACAAATGTCTACCTGTCTACATACTTCGTCTACATACTTGTTGGTACTTGCAAAGAATTAGAAAAGTAAAGTGAAACTCCTCTTTCCAGAAGTCCTGCTGATTCTTCTTAATTAAGAATTTTTATTCTTTGGGCTAAATCCAGTTGCTTGTCCCTGGTACAGTAGACCCATTCAATGAATTGGAGTTGTTAAGACAATGTAGGTCTCATTGATTTAATGAGTCTATTCTGATTGGGTTAGCAGTTGAAATTATTTCTATATATTTAATAGTTCTGGCTTTAATAATGCTTTTCACCAATTTACTTTAGATAAATGTTAATCTAAATGGCTCTGTATATGGCTCTTAGCAAAACAACAGAGAGGAGCTGGTAGCTTTAGTGTAAAAACAGTTTAGAGTACAGTGGTGCCTCGCTTAACGGGTGCCCCGTTTAACGACTAAATCGCATAGCAATTAACTTTTTAATGGTGATTAACATTGCAATGTTCCCTATGGGGAAAAATGGCGTTGCGATGATCGGTACCCTGTTTCACTTACTGATCATCGCAAAGCGATGATTTGTTAACAGCTGATTGGCTGTTCCAAAATGGCTGCCGGGTACACAAAATGGCCACCTGCTGTGTTTTCGCGCCGATTCCTCGTTTACCGGGCAGCAAAAATGGCAGCCGTATAGAGGATTTTCACTTTAAGGTGAGTCTGAAGCCCATAGGAATGCATTGAAGGGGTTTCAGTGCATTCCTATGAGCTTTTTAATATCGCATAGTGATGAAATCGCTTTGCAGCTATTTTTCTGCACCGATTATCGTCGCTATGCGAGGCACCACTGTATAAATATGTGTCTGAGAAAATAATATGAAATGTCCAGTTATTTCCACAGTGTACCAAGCCACATTCAGTAATTCATAGTTGAGTGTCTTTGTGGTTTTTTTTGTTTGTCTGTTTATTTTCATGTACAGATTAGTTTAATAATTTACTAAAGCCCTCTCAATCTGGAATATGGAGATAATGGGCAAAATCCTCTTTTATTGTAGGAATCTCTGTTTCCAGGCATGGGTTTGACAATAAAAGGAAAAGCATTTTCAAAGGTTAAACCAGTAGAAATCCAGAAAAGTTTAGCAGATGTTTCTGAACCACAGCCTTTATCTCTGCTTTCTACGTGGACTACAAAGATCAAGTAAGAGAATAAATTGGTATCATTTAGTACTAGTGATTAATTTGGGTTCTTGGTATTATAGTGCACTGGGTTGTTCAATGTGTTTCTTTTTGTAATCCTTTACAGTAGAGGTTGTCAACCCCCCCATCTGCGGCCCAGTGCCGGTCTGTGGGCTTGACATAACTGGGCCACCGATACAGATCTCTGCCCCTGTATGCAGGCACGGTGAGCATGTCACGCTCATGCGGGTGTGTGTGTGTGTCTCGCACCCACAGTGGATGTGTGTCACGCTCTTGCAACACCCTTCCGTGTGAGCGTGACATGCCCACCATGCTCACGCAGGGGTGCCCCCACCCCCCTGCACATGGAGCTTGCTCCCCCAGCCGGCCACAACTCCTAAAAGGTTGGGGGCCGCTGCTTTACAGCAACTTGTATGGTAACTTTTATTTCCTTATTATTTGAATTATATCTTATCTTTCCCCTTAAATTAGGATTACAGCTAATTTACAACAAAAGTAACCAAAAAGGTACAAAAACAAGTGTTTCTTGTTATAACCTGTATGGTAGGAAATATTCATTTACATATTTGTTTGAGTTGTATCCCACCTTTACCTGCATTTGAAAAAAAGTTTGCAGTATTAGATGAACAGCAGACTTTATGCAATATTGTAAACTGTTTTTAAAATGGAAGTCATTTTTGAAAGGAAAAAGATCAGAAATTCTATTGGGCTAGTGTATGTGTGCCGCAACAACAATTTGGATCCCAGCACAAAATGTTCATACCAAATTAGCTATAATATAATTATACTATGTTTAAATTTATTTTAAATTATTTTTATATACCAGATTTGTAAACATCATAAGAAACTGAGCTTCAAGGCAGCTCTCAACATCCTTAACTAAAATATATATAAAATCCCACGTAAAATAACAAAATAGAATTAAACAGGTTGTTATATTATAACATATTTTAATTAAGAGCAATTTAAAGCAGCATCAGTAAATACATAGAACATCTTCTTATTAAAAGCCCTTTCCACAGCAACTTGTCAAGTGCAGTAGGCTCCTTTGGATAAAAATGTGGAAGGACAACAGGGAGCAAATCAGTCTTGCCTCCTTTGGATGTGACTTCTTCAGCCTGAGAGCAAACAAAAAAACCTTCTCATTTTCATCAAATGTACCTCTGACTGTGGTGGTTCCAAAACAAAGATGCCTCCATAAGGTGTTAAAACCCATGCAGGGAGGGATCAATACACTACTTCAGATAATGATCAAAATTCCGTGTATAACTGAAAAAAAGGGGGGGAATGTGGTGGCGCTGCGGCTTAAACCACTTAAGCCTTTGGGCTGCAAGGTTGAAAGACCAGCAGTTTGAATTCACGTGATGGAGTGAGCTCTCGTTGCTTGTCCCAGCTCCTGCTAACCTAGCAGTTCGAAAGCACGTTGTCATGAGTGCAGCTGAAGACCTGGAACCAGAAGGGTTAACTGAGGCTTAAGAGAATGCTGGGAGATCAGAAACACCTGAACCGCCTCCAGATTCTCCTTCCCCAGCAGACAAGCTTTGGGTCAGGCTTCGGGAAAGACTTAGGACAAAAAGGTCAGAGGATCGCTCAAAGGCTGTCCACAGAAATATCCGTTCAACTAGCCCTGAGTATTAACAGGATGGAAAAGTTTCCAGCAGCTCAAGGAGCTGTTTTACTATAAAACAGCTCCTAGCTAGCCAGAATTTCTGTGGAAGCAACGAGTCAAAATCTCTGGCTTGCATCCACGCTTCTTGAACCGTGTTCCTGACTCTGGACTCTGACCCTGGACTATGCTGTGTATTGGACTCTGGACTCTGACCTTGGACTGTATTCTGTGAATTGGTTTATGGACATTGGCTTTGCATTCTTGGTATTCCTGACCTTGGACTGGCTTATTGGACTTTGGCTTTTGTAACTCCTGGGAACGTGACACATGTAAAAATGCGAGTAGACAAATAGGTACCACCACGGTGGGAAGGTAACAGCATTTTGTGTCTAGTCATGCTGGCTACGTGACCATGGAAGATTATCTACAGACAAAACGCTGGCTCCATGGCCTGGAAATGGGATGAGCACTGCCCCCTAGAGTCAGACATGATTGCACAATTTGTCAAGGGTAACCTTTACCTTTATCTATAACTGAAAATAGTGTATCTTTTCTAGGCAGATTGCCTCAAGTTACGAAATCATTATAGACATTATCAGGTAATTTCTTAACTAGGCTCTTCACCTTCAGATATTAATGCTGTTATGCCACTATAGCTAGGTAAGAGTCTTTTACCCATTATCTCCATATTTCAGATTGAGAGGGTTTTTAGAATTGTGATTTGTGTAAGATCACCTGTTGCACAAATGTTTTAAATTGAGTGCAGAAGAGCTCATCTGAATTTCTTGCAAAGCTATATTGTTCCTGATACTTGCCTGAAAGGGCACCAGAACTGAGATCACATGCTTCAAATGGTGAAGATCCCAGGTTCAGTTGTGGTCAATCCAGTTGGTGGCAGACTTCTGTCTGAAAATGTAAAGCACCATAGCTATTCAGGGTGGAAAATATTGCTCCAAAGATCCGATTGGTGTAAGCAGCTTCCAGTAATGTTTAATTCATTATTTTTAAGTATTACTAAATTCCTTGACTTACATATATTATTTGCATTCCTAGATAGTGAAGCATGGCTGAAAATAGGCTGTTATTTGGACTAACATTTGTACTGCATTAAGTCCATATACCATACCCAGGAACAGAGTTTGATATCTGGCAGTTGAACTAGTACATGCTTTTCTCAATACTGTTTTGGGAACCACTTCTATAATACTAACAAATGAACAATATTGTTAGTTTTGGTAGCCTGGTTTGGAATGTGCAGACGCTTGAACTGAGGACCCTCTTTTTTCCCCTTACTGATTTTTTTTAATCAGACAAGGCCTAAATCCAAGTGCTGGTCCCAACTAGAATAGACTAACTGAATCAGTTATTGAATGGTGAGTTAGTACTAAGTCCTACTAGTTCAATGAGTCACCTGTCGACAGGGCTTGGAGACAGATTGTTGCAGCCGGTAGTTGGCCCATTCTGCACTAGCTTCAGAAGCTACCCATTCCATAAGATGTGAAAGCACAATCTAAGAGAGAGATTCCTAGGTCTTGAATGATATTTTTCTTGTTGATGTACATAAAATTGATAAATTTGGGGTGGTTGTCTTCCATATTTGTTGAACATTATGCTCTTAACCTGTATTTGAGAATTAATACAGAATTTTGGAACAATTTACTAAAGACAGAGGGGCTGATTTCTTTAGGATACCAACTCCTTTCCCCAGATATGTCAGTGTATCAACTATGCACAAAGATGACAAAGAAATAAAGCACACTGTTAATTTGTAATTTATATTCTTTTATGGCAATCCTATCAAGAGGGCCTTCTTAAATGAACAATGCAAAGAAATAGAGGAAGATAATAGAAAAGCAAAAGGAAAAACCAGAGATCTGTTCAGGAAAACTGGAGATATTAAAGGAACATTTTGTGCAAAGATGGACATGATAAAGGACAAACGTGGGATAGACCTTACAGAAGCAGAAGATATCAAGAAGAGGTGGGAAGAATACATAGAGGATTTATATCAGAAAGATTTGGATATCCCAGAGAAACCAGATAGTGTGGTTGCTGACCTTGAGCCAGACATCCTGGAGAGTGAATCCAAGTGGGCCTTAGAAAGATTGGCTAACAACAAGGCCAGTAGAGGTGATGGCGTTCCAGTTGAAGTATTTAAAATCTTAAAAGATGACGCTGTTAAGGTGCTACATTCAATATGCCAGCAAGTTTGGAAAACTCGTGGCCAGAATACTGGAAAAGATCACTCTACGTCACAATCCCAAAGAAGGGCAGTGCCAAAGAATGCTCCAACTACTGTACAATTGCACTCATTTCACACGCTAGCAAGGTTATGCTCAAAATCCTCCAAGGCAGGCTTCAGCAGTATGTGGACTGAGGACTCTCAGAAGTACAAGTTGGATTTCAAAGGGGTAGAGGAACTAGAGACCAAATTGCTAACATGCGCTGGATTATGGAGAAACCAGAGAGTTCCAGAAGAACATCTACTTCATTGACTATGCAAAAGCCGTTGACTGTGTGGACCACAGCAAACTATGGCAAGTCCTTAAAGAAATGGGAGTGCCTGACTACCTTATCTCTCTCCTGAGAAACCTATACATGGGACAGAAAGCAACAGTTAGAACAACTGATTGGTTCAAAATTGGGAAAGGTGTATGACAAGGCTGTATATTGTCCCCCGGCTTATTTAACTTATATACAGAATGCATTATGCGAAAGGCAGGACTGGATGAATCCCAAGCTGGAATTAACATTGCCGGAAGAAATATCAATAACCTCAGATATGCTGATGATACCACTCTGATGGCAGAAAATGAGGAGGAATTAAAGAACCTCTTAATGAGGGTGAAAGAGGAGAGTTCAAAAATGGTCTGAAGCTGAACATTAAAAAAACAACCCTAAGATCATGACCACTGGCCCCATCACCTCCTGGCAAATAGAAGGGGAAGATATGGAGGCAGTGACAGATTTTACTTTCTTGGTATCCATGATCACTGCAGATGGTGACAGCAGCCACGAAATTAAAAGGAAAGCGATGACAAACCTCAACACCATCTGAAAAAGCAGGGACATCACCTTGCCAACAAAAGTACGCATAGTCAAAGCTATGGCTTTTATTGTAGTGATGTATGGAAGTGAGAGCTGGACAATAAAGAAAGCTGACCACTGAAGAAGTGATGCTTTTGAATTGTGGTGCTGGAGGAGGCTCTTGAGAGTCCCCTGGAGTGCAAAGAGAACAAACCTATCCATTCTAAAGGAAATCAACCCTGAGTGCTCACTGGAAGGACAGATCCTGAAGCTGAGGCTCCAATACTTTGGCCATCTCATGAGAAGATAAAACTCCCCAGAAAAGCCCCTGATGTTTGGAAAGTGTGAAGGCAAGAGGAGAAGGGGACGACAGGAGATGAGATGGTTGGAAATACAACAAATGATAACCAATATAAACTGAGAATGGAGAGAGAGTTACAGAATGATGCAGGTATTTGCTGGGTAGTGAATAAAGAAATGAAAACCAAAAAGACAAATACCAACACTACAAATAATTAAAGTGAGGTTATACTACTAGACTTAGTATTAACATAGGTGTAGTTTACAAGAGTCTCATACAACTCTTTATCCTGTTTGTGAGCCCTGTATAACCATTTTTCTTTTTTGTGGCAACCTGGGGTTAACATGTAGAGCTTCCTTTCTGGAATAGCTTCTTTCTTTATTTTATGAATGAATTACTTTAGTAATTTTTAAAGATAACTGGCTGCGAATGGAAGAATGGATCTAAGTTCTGTTGCAATTTTAAAAAAACTTCAATAAATGTATTTGCTATTAGGCTGCTTTATATGATTGTCTTGGATCATTTTATGTTGTACTTTCCATTTAGTCTTGCAGTCTTTCTGCACAGCAGGTCTTATGGTAAAGCTTCTTTTGGTCTGTTCAGGGTTATCCCTTCACTATTTTACTGATGCAGGAAGAAAGCTTTAATTATTAGCTTTTGTTGTGCTTCAAGCCCTGAAAGGTTTCTTGGACACGGAAGAGAGCCTTTTTATAGCAGGTCTGAAGTTTGTAAATGGATATTACTTTCAATTAAGTAACTGAGAATAGACTCATGGAAAAAGAATGCTAAAGTTTATGAAACAGTCAAATTGGCATTTAAGTGACCCTGTGCATGCCATTGCTTATCTACATTGCTTTAAGTTCATTTGGTTAGCAAGATTATATATTAAAACAAATAATGACAGCAGACAATGAGTATTTTACTTCAATAAAAAGTTACTGTCAGTTTATCAATGGTGCAGAAAAAGCATGATTTTGTAAAAAAAAAGTTATTGAGTGCATTAAGTGAGGTTAATGTAGGCCACACACATAGTATTGGTTTTTCTGGTCTTCTCTTTCAAAGGATGACAAATAGACTGCTTAAGGAGAGTGTGTGCTGTAAAAACACACACCTTCACCTGTAACATGCTCTAAATATTTTAGGTTTTGTTAAGAGTGTCCCATTTTTGTTGGTTAAATGATTAAATTTACTTTTAGAGATCAAGCAAAAGGACACTAAAATGTATGGTGTGGACAACCTGCTATTTTCTTAGAAAAATGTAAATATATAAGGGCAGCTTTTTAGTGGGTGGCCCTGTTTATTTAATTAACCAGATAGAGCTATATTATAGTTGAAGAAATGCAAAATTATAACTTTTCTTGTTTGAGAGAGAGTGGCAGAAATATTTTATTCCAGAATTAAATTAAAACACATGCAATAAGAAATCAAATCAGTGTTTTTATTGCTAATTCATAAATGTACCGTTCAGTTTTAAGCTGGTTGGAAAAATAGGCCTGCTATCTACAAATTCTTCTCCTTTCTCTTTTCTACATGATTCAATATAATTTCATAGCAGTACATAAGGATTGTTAATTTGAATGTCTTTTACGCTATTCACACTCTTGCAGTTGTAGACTAGGAAAATTGTATGAAGAGAATATGTAGAGTAGCACAGAGTTCTGCCTGCCCTCTCAGTGACACCATAATATAATTTAAAAAGTAACCAGTGCTTGACTGCAGGTTGGTTGGTTGTTGTTTTTTTGCTTTCTGCAATATTTGATAATACTGACTAGAGATGGGGGCATTTGTATTTGTATACAAATACCCTGACACAGGGGGACATAATGAGGGTCCAGCCCCCCTGGGGCCAGACTGTCCACGAATCTTCTGCTGTTGCTGCGGGCTCCGTGCTCCCTTCCTATCGCTCCAGAGCTCACGGTCTATGAGCCACCCCTGGCAAGAGGTGGAAGGACAAACCTCGCTGCCAGGTCAGAGAGTGGCTCGCAGACCACAAGCTTCGGAGCAATAGGAAGGGAGCAAGGAGCCCATAGCAACAGCGGAAGGTGAGTGGACAGTCGGAGCCCATAGCAAGAACGGAAGGTGAGTGGACAGTCTGGCCACTGGGGGCTAGACCTTGTTATGTCCACCTGCGTGGGGGTATTCATATACAAATACCCCCATCTCTAATACTGACCACAATAAAATAATAAGTAGTCAATGAAACTGCATCCTCTCTTTGTCTGATATGAAATCTGTTGAGGTTACTGGGATGTGAAAACTGATTTCAGATCAATGCTAGTCCTGATAAGTACTAAAGGATCTCCACTGGGAGCTCCAGTACCAAAGCCCACAAGGAGCTCCAGTACCAAAGGAGCTCCACAAATGATGTCTGAACTTTCTGAAGAAATATTCTGTGTGGATGGGATGCTGACCTAGTGGTACTGATGGGGGACTTGTGGAAGAAATATGTGGTACCTGAAATGTGCATGAATGATAATTATTATTCAATGATAACGCAGAAAGTTCTTCTTAAGGTCTTCCAATTTATAGTATGACTAAGGCTGCAGTCCTATGCACACATACCTTAGAATTAGTTCCATTAAACTCCCTGGGACCTACAGTGTTTCTAAATGATAGAAAATCCTTAGAAATTTGCATTCTAGTGGTAGATTTATACTTAATATTACATGCATAAAATGTTGACCTGATTTTTATTTTTTTTCCAGAGATGTGGATTACCCACTTATTCACCTTCTGTGTACAGGTTATCCTAGATGCATATTGCCTATTAATCTGCAGCTTGTGTCCAGAGTGCACCATACCTTAGACAAAAAGGGCCATCATGTTTTATTGCCATCGGTTAATCTTACCTCTCACAAATCAGAAGATTTCTTTCCAGCCACTGCTGCCCTTGAGGAACAAATGGAAGGAGAAAGGTATGAGCAGCAAATATTTTGTATCATTTTGGAGGACAGCACAGTGAATGTTACAGTTAGTGTTGATTTTCTGTAAGAAGCGTCAATTCACACAGCCTTTTTTCATGCTTTTTGTTGGACTTCTGCATGTTGGTGACATGAACATAAACTGATACAAATGGATATTGTCTATCTGGATTTTCAGAAGGTGTTTAACATGGTACCTCACCTGCTGAGAAAACTCCACAGTCAGGGGATAAGAGTCCTCTTATGGACTGAGAATTGATTGAGAACCAGGAAACAGAGAGTAGGTGTCAATGGGCAATTTTCACAGTGGAGAGAGATGAAGAGCGGTGGCATAAACATAAACTGATACAAATGGATATTGTCTATCTGGATTTTCAGAAGGTGTTTAACATGGTACCTCACCTGCTGAGAAAACTCCACAGTCAGGGGATAAGAGTCCTCTTATGGACTGAGAATTGATTGAGAACCAGGAAACAGAGAGTAGGTGTCAATGGGCAATTTTCACAGTGGAGAGAGATGAAGAGCGTTGTCCCCCAGGGATCTGTTCTGGGCCCAGTGCTTTTGAATCTGTTCAACAGTGACCTGGAGACTGGGATAAGCAGTGAGGTGGCCAGGTTTGCAGATGAAACAACACTTTTCTGGGTGGTGAAGACCAGAAGGGATTGTGAAGAACTCCAGAAGGATCTCTCCAAATAGGGAGAATGGGTGGCAAAATGGCAAATGCATTTCAACATAAGAAAATGTAAAGTAATGCACATTGGGGCAAAACATCAAAACTTTAGTTATCAGCTAATGGTTTCTGAGCTGTCCATGATGGATCAGGAAATAGATCTTGGTGTGCTGGTGGACAGCTTAATCAAAGTGTCAAGCTAGTGTGCGGCAGCAGTGAAGGCGGCCAATTGCATGGTAGGTATCATTAAAAAAGGGATTGAAAACAAAACACCTCACATTATAATGCCATTGTACAAAACCCTGGTAGGGCTGCACCTGACTATTGTGTAGAGTTCTGGTCGCCACACCTCAAAAAAGACATTGTGGAACTGGAAAAGGTGCAGAAGAGAGTGACTAAAATGATGACTGGGCTGGGGCACCTCCCTTCTGAGAAAAGGCTACAGAAAATATTTCTTTAGCCGGTCAAAACACCTCACATTATAATGCCATTGTACAAAACCCTGGTAGGGCTGCACCTGACTATTGTGTAGAGTTCTGGTCGCCACACCTCAAAAAAGACATTGTGGAACTGGAAAAGGTGCAGAAGAGAGTGACTAAAATGATGACTGGGCTGGGGCACCTCCCTTCTGAGAAAAGGCTACAGAAAATATTTCTTTAGCCGGTGTGTTGGTAGTCTATGGAACTCCTTGCCACAGGATGTGGTGCTGTCATCTGACTTAGATGCCTTTAAAAGGGTATTGGACAGATTCCTGGAGGAAAAGGCCACTGCAGGTTACAAGCCACAATGGGGATGTATAATCTCCAGGCTTCAAAGCAAGGTGCATCAAAATGTCAGTTGCAGAGGAGTGGTATCAGAAGATAGGTATCTAGTTGTCTCATGTGCTCCCAGAGGCATCTGGTGGGGCAACTGTGAGATACAGGAAGCTGGACTAGATGGGACCTTGGCGTGATCCACCAGGGCTGTTCTTATGGTCTTATGTTCTTATATTACTTTTCTGCAGAACTATTTTGTACAATCTTAATGGGAAAAAGTGGTTTGGTTTTGTGATGGAGGCAAGAAATCCTGTGGGTTTTTTTTTTTTGTTAGAATGTCAAGTTTGATCATACAGCATTTGAAGTCAACTATCTAAGCTAGGTTTTTAATATCACTTTAAAAAATTTTTGTTTATATTTGCATTGTGTTATGGAATATGGGATTTTAAGAGTGTTTTTTAAAAGGAAGAATGACAGTTATTAACTAGAATGTGCAGATGATTTCAACATCTCAGTGGCTGTAAGAAAAACAAATAATCTGTTGCATATGGTGCATGGACTGCATCTTACCTCTTCATATTTGAAGGTGCTGCAATTTCTCATAGTTGAGTTATGTTTCCGTAGGCTTCTTTTCTAATCTTTCACTTTTGCATTTGGATGCATCTGTTGGGAGAGATACAGTAGCAAACACAACACCTCCCCGCCCACTACACACACTGCAAAGAATTTGATCAAAATTCTTCCTGCACTTTATGTTTCTACTGTTTTGTATGCTTTGGCTTACGTTTGGGAAGGAAGAATGAGTCATAAGTAGCTAACAGTAGAAATAGGTCTAGTTTTAGTAAGAGAAGTCATGTCCATTGTCATCCCAAATTACTTTGTAAGAATTTGCCTGTATTTGGAGATTTGCTGGCAACAGAGTCTCCTGCCTGCATATAGTCCACCTGCATACTGAACTTCATGTTCCTTGTGTTGGGAGTATTGTTACAACTGTGGATAGTGGTGTCTGGGTCTCAGTCATAGAAGTGATGCCTCTTCGGCGTTGCAGGCAATTTGATGGGTTCAAGACAGAGCACAATTAGAATTAATTCTGGTTAGATAATCTCCCTGTTTAGTGGTTGTGCAAACTCACAGATAGCATGACCTACATACTTAATAATCAATATATTTATGTGAAATATATTTTGGTACCTTACTTGTTTCCTTCTTATCTTACTATTCAAATACCCTTAACAGCAAATACACAGGAGTAACAGAAAGCAAAACTTGTAAAGTGCTGTAAGGGAATAAACAAAGTAAAATTAACGGGCAATAGTGGTGCCATGGCAGTATAGGTTCCCATGATTACACTTTGTCTCCACCAGTGTAAAGAAAACTTTTTAAGGACCCTATTCTCTACCCAGCAGGTATAATTTAGGGGTAAGATCATGACACAATGTGTTATCTCATAGTAAAACAGGGAGATGACCTGTCCTTTGTGCAGTAAGACTTCTTTAGGACATAATTGTACATATACAGTACATGCATGATCCTTGATTGGTCCAGTTTTTGATAAGTTGTAACTTGTTTCACTATAGAGAAGTCAATCATGATTTTTGTTTAATTATTACAAAACCATCACCAAATTACAAAATTCTGAAGCTGAGATCTGTGGGAGAAGCTCTCCTAAAATGTATATTCTTAAAAAATAAATCTGATAGGGCATAACGAAAAACATAATTTGTCCTTGGCATGAAGGCAAGTTTTGGTGGCCCTTATCAGCAATGTCAAAATCCGGAGCTGGAGTCCTGAACGGAGTTCTTTTTGTTCTGCCAACTCTCGTGACGTTGCTGGAACCAGTTGTATTGGCTCTTGCCTTTCCATTGGACCATTTCAGCAACGTGGAGAGGGGGGATTTGCTGCTTGGGTAACAGCCTATCCTCCATATTACTTTACCCAGGCTTCATGCTCTAGAGAGGACACTCCTCAATTCATAGCATGTTACCATGGTCTCTCGAGACTGAAGGATGCCTATGATTGATATCAGCAATGCATATCTGCAGGGGATCGGCCTAGGTTCAAGATGCAGTGCAACTAGAATCATAATGAGGCTTCCCTCTCAGTTAGTGTAATATATATACTTATTAATCAATATTTTAAATTTGAAATATATATTTTGTATCTTATTTATTTCCTAATGTTACTATCTATTCTCACCAAAATAATAGAATAATAATAGAAAATAAAACTATGGAAAGAGTATATAAAAGTAAAGAATGTAAAATTTCAGAAATATTACAAAAGAAAGTAAAATCTCAAAAGTAATATAAGGGGACATATTATGAACATCATCCAGTAAGTCCTTGACTATAACAATTATATTCACCACGCTAGTAAAGATTTTCATTTTGGTACAGATCAAATTGTTTGCCTTTTCACTTGTTCTTTCACTACAGAAGTGTCGAGTCACCAGTAGATGTCACTGTTGGCATGTGCTAATAAGATTAAAATAATGGTAATTTAAATCTTTGAGGTTAAGGGCAGAATACAATGTTACAAATAGACCTTGACTAGAAAATAAAAGTCCAGGGGATTCTCAAGAGCCTCCTCCGAATGTTACAAGTAGACCTTGACTAGAAAATAAAATTCTTTAACTGATGAAATCCAAGTGCTCCATGGGAGATAGTCTTACCTCTCCTAGTTTGCAATTTAGCTTGCTTTGTTTTGTGTTTGGTCTTCAGGCTTTAAGCACAGGATTCTTTTGAACTCTGATCTTTCAAACATGAAACCTGGATCACATCAGTACAACAAACTTCAACCTTGAATCAAAGGATACATATAGTGCCTTGTCCTACCCATAATCCAGTAGTCCAGAGCATGGATCCTTCAGTCGGGGAATCCGTCAGCCACAAATCTATCATCTGTACGCTGGGGCAAGTCCTCAACCTCCAGCATTGTGTAGCCTTTGTGCCTAGAATAAGACTGACCTTAACTTTTGCTCAGTACTTTCCAAGTACAGGCACATGGGATTTGTAGTTTATAAGAACTCACAACAGCTCAGTTAATTAGGACTTCTCTGGTAGCTAGTCAGTGGCCATTACCACCTCTGAATTTAGCCAAACCCTGCTGAATCCACGAGACAATCCTTGTTGAAGATTAATTTTTTATTAAGAAAATATATAGTTTCACAGAAACTGTTTTTGCTCAAGCATAGCATAAAGAACATGTTCAAAAGAATACACTGTTAAATACAACAACTAATTCTCATTAAAAATAACAAACACTAAACTGGGCTAAGGTGGGCTAGTCTCATCTCCTTCTTTCTCTTTACTTACATTCTTTCTCCTTCAAGCCATATACTCAAACCATCAAGTTCTCTCTCTTTCCCATCATCATGGAATCAAACCTCTCCCACATAACCCATCATCCATTTTCTACATTACTCGGACCTTTTCTTCTAGACCATAAACCAATCAACTCAAAGAGGCATAATTGTCCATTCCACCCATAATTCTCATGAAAATACAGGTGTTTCATCTCCATTCCAATTAGGAAGGAATTTGTTGGGTCTGTGTGCTCTGGGTCTCCTC